TCCCTGAGGTTGGGAGCCCGCTTGACTACCGTGTTCTGCATCTGCTCGAGGCAGTCCAGGGCCCTCGTCTCCTTTCCCCCGCAGTCCAAGACCAGTCTCTCAATGGTCGCCGCGTTGTGGCGGCCAATGGTGGCAAACCACTGGCGCTGGTACTTCAGCGACAGCAGGAACGTGTTGCTGCTGTACGTGAAGTGCGCCACCTCTCTCGACAGCCGCTTGTTGGCCAGCAGCATGGCCATATAGAGTCGGCAAGGCAGCTCGATGTGCTGTCGCCGCGGCTGTCTTCCATCTCCCCGGTGAACAGGCGGCTGGATCGGCTTGTCTGTGATCAGCAGCAAGCGGTAGATCATCAGCCGGACTTCGGCTGGGAAGTCGAAGAAGTTGAGGCAGTTGGTGGCGCCGAGGAGGAGGGTGAGGGTGGCGTTGTGGTCCATTGCTGATGAGGATGGCGTTGGACTTGGACTTGAGACAATATCGCGTGGGATGGCGATAATCGCATAGGATAACGAAGGACGAGAGATGGCAAAGGACGCTTGAGATGTTGAAGGCGCTGAGGGTTGGCGATGGCCGCTTGGGATGGCGATGCTTGCTTGTGATGCCGAAAGGCGCGTGGGAGACTTGTCGGATTGCGATGGGAAGGCCGGTTAAATGCCTGTGAATACGATCGCGCTTCTCGATAGGCTGTCGCTGAATGTGGCGGTGAAGTTGGCGAGAGGAGAAAGAGAGAGGTGGAGTTGGCGTGTCTGGAGGAAAGTGAGAAGGATATCCTAGGCTTTGTGAAAATACAAGGCGATGGCGAAAACTTCGGCTGAGCTCAAGACTGGGTTGTCGGTGGTGAGAAAAGAGGATGGGTCTTGTGAGGTCTGAGAAACTGGGGAGGTATTTACAGGTGGGCGGGCGAGGTTACGAGGTCGGTAAGAGTGAATAGAGGCAAGAGTGAATAGAAGCAAGGCCCCACAATAGACAGTGAATGTAAACACAATAGGAACAGCACAGCAGTGAATGGCGGGAACAGAAGGGGGTGTATATAAGATGACCTATCAACGACACCCTTTCCCCCTGTGATGGGATGAAATGGCAGAAGGTGAAGCCACACTGTGAAGCCCCTCTCGAATAAGCCCACAAAAAACAAACAAGCTCACGCGCTTAGTCTACAAAGTGCCTTCCCATTCTCAAGTACATTTGCGTTGCAGGTAAGCTTGGCATCCTGGATGCAGGTGAGGGCGTCACCGCCTATGGAGCGTCTTGTCAGCACACCTTGATGATCTTGAACTGGGAAGAGAAACTCACAGTTGGCTGTGTTCGCAGGCACGCATTTCCCTTGTGCTCCATTGACGCTACAGACATCCTGTTTCTTGCTTACACCGCCAATGCAGCAAGCACCGTTGCTGACGGGACGTCCGGCGTTTGCGTTTTGGCGCTCGAGGAGGAGAACCTCGCGGCGGACAGCTGCCATGCCTGGCTCCTCAATGGCCACAGCACTGGCAAAAGAGAGGAGGGGGAGGAGGATGGCGAGAGAGAACTTCATTTTGAAGGTTGCGGAAATAAAAGATCAGAAATGGCAAAACCGTCTAGCGGTATTATTAAGTGAAATATATCTACAACGGAGGAAAAGAAGCTGGCGGTAATATCAACACAGAATGGAAGGTTATGAGGAACATGACGATGGGCCGGACTTCTAGTCACTTTATATGTCGCCGCCGAGGTTGGGCTCCGGTGCTGCTCTCTATCCGAGACTACCCTGATGTCGTTTGGAGTGTCCCGGCTAGAACTTCCCCAGCTACCTACTGCACCACGTCTCAGGATGCCAAGATACGCCATGCAGCATGCAGCGCAGGAGCAGGGCGGGAAGAGTGAGATCCCCCGGATTCTCAGCCACGTTGGCCAAGATCAGATACTCGGATCAGACGACGGTCGTGTGACTTGATTGGTTTCGGACTTGACGCAACCCAGCTTCCATTCTGCTTTTCCCGGTCGGGGTGGTAGACGCAGGCCATGGGAGTGGAGTCGCCATGTCCAGATGCGCACGCAGCATGGCATTCAACCCAACTGCGGCTGTCTCAAATTGTATGTGTGATGTTGCACTAGACTGAATCTCGGGCGCGTCTCGACTTCTGAAACTCATGTCCATGTGGTAGCTTGGGCCACCTTCGCGCTTGCCCCTTTGAGCCCCCTTTACTGGCGACTTCGCACGTTGATTGGTTGGGGCTTCCACCGAGTTCCAGGACAAGATCGTGGGACCCCTTGGAACTCGCCAAATCGGCATTCAGCACTGGGTCAATTCAATGAAGCATGGCAGTCAGAGGCGCGGAAGGGAGGTGCAGAATCGGGGTAATTAAAGTAGCTGAGTATCGGATCCCATGTACTTAGACAAGTGTGCAAACAAGAACTGACAGCGAACAAAAGCAGAGGCGCAAACAGCAAGGCCAATCTGCGCCGAGCCCGCCTAAAGGAAACACAGGCCACCCTCTCGTAACACGCAAGCACTGCAATCCCCCGCGGTTTCCAACTCGACGAGCATTCCACAAAACATTCCACAAGCCGAACGGACTCCTACTTTGCTCCTGCAAACGGGCTCTTCTTTACTAGCCACTCCTCCATGGTCAGCAAACCTGAGTGGTCCCGTCTCCGCGCGGCAATATCGGCCTTGTAGCCGTCACTTGCGAACCAGCCGATCATGAGTCCCATTTCCTCGACCGCATAGGTCAACGCGCTCCCCAGGAACCAGTACGAGATGGGCGCGGGGCTTCCCGTAGCCCTGGCAAAGGCCGCGCTAAGCTGCTCCATCGTCAGCTCGTCGCCCGCCAGCCCCACTGCCCGATGGTTCCATTCGCTTGGCTTCGAAAACGCCTTGGCTGCAAACACGCCAATGTCGGCCGTGGCAACCCACCATAGCGACTTGTCGCGATCCCCGAGATAATTGTGAAGCGCAGCCAGGAACACCTTGGTCGGCATTCCCGGCGCGAGGTTGTCCATGAAGGCAACGGGCCGGAGAATCGTCCAGCCCATGGGCGCCGCCCCGCGCTCGCCGGCGGCGGTCGCCGTTCGCAGGTGCTGCTCAATCTGGTACTTGCTCTGAAAGTGTGGGATTGGCGTCGCGTTGCTCCACGAAGCCGTGTCGCCGCCGCGCTCGACGCTGCTGTACACAAAATGCTTGACGCCTGCCTCGATGGCCCCGTCAATCAGCGATTTGCCCTGCGCAATCTCGCCTTCGACAGTTACGCCCGGACCAAGCGACACCTGCACCGAGAAAATGCCCCAGATGGGATTGCCCCCATTGACCCTCTTGGCCTCGTCCAAAAGTGCCAGCACGTCGTCGAGATTGCCCTGGACAAGCTTGATGTTGCCGTTGGGAGACTTGGCGGCTAGACGCTTTGCGCTGTTGGAGGATGCATCTCGGGTAGCGGCCAAGAGTGTGAATTGGCTGCCGTCCTCGTCTAGGTCCAGCAGGGCGTCGATGACTGCGCCGCCCTGCTTGCCCGTGGCACCGGTGATGAGCAGACCCTTGGGCATGGTGGGATTTCGAGTTATGAGTATGGTGATGTTTCTCAATTGCTAGTTTTGGTCCTGCCAAAGAGTTGATGGACTCCGCTGGACGTTCACCAAGAACTGACCGAGATAGGTACGCCGTTGACCCCCGCCCCTGGTGACGTGCGTCAGACATCAAAGTGGCGTATGGTTTTGGCTCCTGGCAAGTGGAAAGGGAGCCAAGAGTACACGAGTAATGTCGCCCGAAGATACCACCATTGAGTTAGTGCTGGTTGGCGACACTCTAATAGCAAGACCAGTTCTTTCGCCGCACTCGGCGCCGCGCTTCTTCAAGGCCAATCCGCACATTTCAATGCCAAGTGTAGCGTTTCCATGCGTGCTGAGTCGGGGCCAAGGAGACTATGGGCACGGTGAGTCTCGATGATGTGCCGATGATGAAAACACAGTTTAGAAGTGGCTCGATCGCTGTAGCGTCAGCGGCCGGCCTCAATCCAAGCCATAATTATTGCTCAAGGACATATCAACAATGAGGCCGGAGCAACCTAACGGTTGCCATCAACGTGTTCGAGCCAACGTCTTGCGCCCTCAACAGCCATTCGCTTCTTCTCCTTGCCAATCCAGAATTCCAGCACCATAGCACCTTGCGACGTTCCCTCATCCACTCAACCTCCCAGACCACCCGACAGAAGTTCTACGACATATAAGATGGGGGCGGATATAGCGACAGAGGGGGCTTTTCACGTCTCGGGCGAGGGAAAGCCCTCCCTGTCGGGCGATTTGTCTTCGGCCCGCCTTCAAACAGTACACGCCCTCCTCGATGGATACAGCAGCCTCTCGGTCCCGCAGCTCCTCAAGACCTTGTCGCCCGACTTCACCCACCGCGTCCTCCCGGCAAGTCTACGGATGCCCACCCGCGACAAGCAATCGTTCTCCCTCCACGCCAAGGGCATCTTCTCAGTCTTTGACACATTTAGTATGATACCAGAGGAGATCTACGAAGATGCTTCTCAGGACGTGGTTGTGGTACACGCGCGCATGAAGGGGACTCTCAAGCACACCAAGCAACAGTGGGACAACGAGTGCTTTATGAGTGTGCATCTAACCAGCGATGGGCGCGAGGTACTTGAGGTTGAGGAGTTTGTCGACAGCTCTAAGGCTCTGGAAATGCGCATGCGGCACGCCCCAAAGAACTTTGAGGGGGAAGCATCCACTGGCTTGCACGTGGCCGGCGGGGTGCTGTTGATCACCTGCTTGCTGGTAGCAGCTGGGACTCTTCTTGGGACGAGGCGGTTTATGTAATTGTAATGTTAATGTGGAGTGGGCTGGAAACGGACTGATGATATTTTAAGCAGCTAAATCATAACCGTCAAACAAAACAAGATAAAAATGTGCACTGGCACAACATCGATTTGATCACTCACGGAACATTTTCTTCTCTGAAGCCAGCTCAGAATCAAAACGTTCCAAAAAAGGAAAGAGTCAAGTATTTTGATATGCTTGACTGCGAGTATCGACAACGGCATGGTTCGAACATGCGCCTCCGAAGAGATTTGATTGGATATCATATTGGTTCAAGTCAAACGCCTTAGACCACTCGGCCACGTTGCCATCGAGCTTACACTCTTATTGTTGGTTCCACCCTCGGTTGTCACCCTAATATCGAACGTGAGTAAATCCCAACAAGCCGACCTAGCGGGTGGTCTTTCTCACAAATCGAGTTCATGAAGAAGTATTTTTTTCTGACATGCTCCATCAGACCGGTTTTATATTCTTTGCATCTACCTCGCACCACACACAAGTCAAAACTTTGCCAAGCAGCGTTTGGCGTCCGAGTTCAATTTTTTTTTTTCGCACCGCTTGCTCAGTGATACCGCAGAGTCTGCCACAGGGCCACGGTGCCCGCAACAAGCGGCATCACCATTCTCACACCATTCAACTTGATCCATCGTCGTGCATAGTATTCCGCCAGGCTAGAATCAACCCCGCCGGCCTTGGGCTCTCGCAGACCGTCCAGCTTATTGTTCAGGGGCTGCATGTTGAGCGCCGAGTGCAGGACATTGACAAAGTGGCAGGCCGCCGAGACGGCGTACAGGCGCCAGTCCCGGAGTGTTGCAGGCCCGGCCGAGTAGGTCAGGTAACTGGCATAGGCGTACCCAAAGATGCCCAGGGTGCTGATGGGCCGGAAGAAGGCGTTGCCCACGTTCCAGAACACCGGCCACTGGCGTCCGAGGTGCCTCGCGGCCGCTGCGTGCTCGGGGGCCGAGGGGCGCGGAAAGTCTACCAGCAGGGCGGGCACCCCCATGAAAGACTGCGTGATGGCATTTCCTCGAAACGGAGAGTCAGTAGGTTCTGCATGGCGAGGTGGGCCGAGACCGACATACCGAAGAGAATGAAGGAAAAGGCAGCGGTCGTACCGACGACGGCCTCAGTCGGGATGGTGGCCATGGTGCGCGGTGCTCGCTGGGAGAGGCTCGAGGGAATGTGCTACTTTAATGAATCTGGTCCCTCTATGAAGACAGAGTGCCCAGTCTCAATTGTTTTGTTTTGATGTTGTATGTGTGATGTTGTAATTCCAGCATTCGATGCAATCGCTGCATTTCATCAGTCGAGTATTCCGTGATGTCTTTACCGCGCTCGCATTATCATATCTTAACTTTCCCACGCTGGCTGTAACCCCTCATTGCGCGCTGGAATCGTCACATGAAAACAGGAGAGCGCATATTACCGGTGATGACCGGGAGATGGTGTGTTCTCTGGGTAAATTAACTCTCCCGGCGGTTCGGAAATGCGACACTAGTAAGACCTGGGCCCTTTTGGTTCGCCAGCCGTACTGTACCATGGCCAAGTGAAGCCCGTCGGGAGTTTCCTATGCAGGGAAGAAGTCATTAGATTCAGACTAGCTCAGAGTTCCTGTTTCCCTGCACAGAGATAGGATAGCCACACAGCATCGCCAACGTAAATATTGACTCGAGTCCCAAGGTGTAAACAACACCAAAATACAGATCGCGCGAACCTTGGGCCCCAGCCATGATGCATGCATGATGCGAGGACATGGGACAACTCAATTTGTCTTGGGAAACTTTGGCATCTCATATTTTGCACCACCACCAAATGGTGACAAGTCTAACGCTTCAAGGAACATGGGAAAATTGAATGAGATGCAAAATAACTTCCCAATAACTATTAGAAATGAGGTTGGTAGACCATCACGCCACCCACACGCCCAATTTTGACCCTATTCCCCCCATGAAGTAATCGCTTAGAGTAAATTGACAAAGTAAATGTCCCGCCACGGCAAAGTACGCTTGGCAGCTTCATAGATCCGCACAAGAGTTGACACGGTTAATCTGAACGAGGACGTCGTTCTTCTTCAGATCCAACACCTGTAGCGGCACTCCCGGAGAAGGATTCTTCTGCTTTACCGGGGGGATTTTCCCTTGGCGTGCCGCTTGGATGAACTCGGCGCGGGTTTGTCTGTCGTTGGCGTCCGCCTCTTCCCACATTTGCAGCGCCTCTCGTCGGCGGTTCTCGCTCCGCGGCTCAAAAGCCATCTGAAACGGATCCGGCTTGATGATGAGTAGGGAGTTGGACTTGTCGAGTGGTACAGGCAACTCCACACCTGTTACAGGATCCCGTTTGCGCCCAAGATTGAAGCACCAGGCAAGCGATCCGCATGCTACCATCAGCTCGTCCTGGGTGAGTGCCATGCCCAAGCACTGCCTCTGGCCCCAGCCGAACGATGACATTCCCTTGATGGTCGGGTACCGTGTCAAGGGCTCTTGGAATGTTGGCCACCCCGGCTCGAGCCATCTCTCTGGCCGGAAGTTCTCCGGGTCGGGATACTTGTCAGGGTTACGAAGGAAGGCCCTGCAAAGTGTCAGTCCACGGAATTCTGGTCATTCACTCAGCGCCACACACCAGTCAAGCGGAAGGATTCGTGTCCCCTTGGGGATGAAGTGGCCGTCGTAAACGTCATCCACCTCGGTCTCGTGCGCAACACCTGCTTTACAAGTCAGCAAGATACCGGGCCAATTTGTGAGAGACATCCTACCTGTTGGGACGTTGGGCTTCCACCTCATCGTCTCCTTGATGCACGCCCGCAAAATAGGCAGTCTCGGGGAATCCTCTAGTGTTGGCAACCGGCCCTCGCAAACCTCATCAATCTCCTTTTGCACGGCTGCTTGCCACTCGGGGTGGTGGACCATGGAGACGAGCCAGTATGAGAGCGGACCAGCCACCGTGAAGATACCGACCAGTGCCAGCATTCCAATGACGGAAGAGGCCTCGCAGTCGCCCGAGATGGATGTCTTGAGGGACGTCTTCTCCAAGAACTGCCGTGTCCAACACGGCCGCATCTCCCCGTATCCCGTCTTCTCTCGAACTGCCAGGAATCGGTCCATCCACCATGCCTGCTGCTCGTCGTGACGCTTGCGCTCGGCTCTCTTCCAAGGGTTGAGGTGCCAGGGCAAATGCCACAACGGGGTCAAGACATTGGTGATGGGCCCTGCTGGCGACATCTGTCTGAGTAGACCCCAGGCGCTCTTGGTACAGTATTCGCTGAGGCTTGGGTCGTCCCAGGTCAACTGACACATGACTTTGGATGCCATATCCTCAAGTGATGCCTGGAAGTTGTCGGGGTCGTTGATCAGCCTGGCTAGCCACCGCTTGGCCTCGAAGTACATGGCACCGTGGTAGCGGGCATTCGTGGCCTCGGTGATATAGGCGTGTGTGAGACGTCTCTGTCGCGCCCAATACTCTTTCCACATTGTTAGCTTCCCAGGACATGCCCATGACATCAATGAGCACTCACGGTTTCTTCCCATCAGGGGAAGGTACTCCATCGAGCCATGGGAGCTCTTGGAGTCGAACAGAGACCTGATTACAGGACGGTCCGAGTTGTACTTGGCACGCTTGATCAGCAGATCCTCGGCCACCTTCTCGTCGGTGATGATGATGAACTTGGCGCCCAGCATCTCGGTCCTGTACAGCCCCGCGGATCCATACTTGTCGGCCCACTCCTTGAACTTGAGCCACATGAAATCTGTTGGCAAATCGTGTATCCTGCCGATGTAAGGTATCTGGGTAGGCCCTGGGAGCCCGTTGGGGTCGTTGATCTCTCGAAAGACCTTGACGAAGTGTACAATGGCAAAGCCCAGAAGGATGGCGGCCAGCAGCCCAATGGTAACGAGCTGCATCGCATCGGCGGCGTGTGGCTTTCTGACGGAGGCAGCGGAGGAAGCGGTGATAGCGGCGCGGCAGACACGCGGCAAACACGCGGCAGGTCTTGAGTCGGGATTGGGAGGAGGAAGAGTAAGGCAACGTGTAGGTGCGAGCCAGGACTTCCAACCAAGACCAGACTTTTATTGTCCCCTCGCGTGCTCGCGCCCTCTCAAAACAAGTTTGCCGCAGGAACCCCATCGTCGCCAAGGCCACTACTAGTTTTCCGGATCTTCACGAATTCGACGGGTAAACAGACCTGAGGCGAGTTTACGTCGGGCATAAGCTATCTGCGCGCGCTATCGAGTCTGTGCGGTTGACCTCGGCCTGTCTATATTCATCGCGGTTACAGAAACGCGTTGGGATAGGGGAGCGCTACGGACGGATCGACGACCACTGGCCCGCCCACTGAACGAACCTTGATCTGAATAGATGCCAATCAGTGTTTACTGGCGTACGCTGTGCTTGCGCCGCCAAGCGATGTCGTCGGCATTCCACAATGGCAATGCTCCACGGCATCTTACTGGCTTGCTGGTTGGGGAAGACTCCCGCTCCTGGAGCCTTATGCTCCGCACGGGGCTGCGCAGCGTCTCGCACCTGTAGCCTGGGGAGAAGAGCATTCGGAGCCCTTCAAAGTCTTTAGAACAGCCCGGACGCAGCTGCCAATGCGGTTTCAATGCGAGCTGTTGTATGCCAATATGGGTTCCAGCTGTGTAGTATCGCAGCGCCTTCGTCTTCTCCCCTGTCGACTGCGGTGAGCTATCCCGTGTGCATAGGAGATAACGGTGTGATTATTAGACCGAACTCAACCGGCTTCGCTCACAGTCCGGCCAGCCGGTAAAACGACGGGGCTCCGTTGGCCACGTTCCAGTTGCTACCGGTGCCTGCGGTTCAGGGGCATCCCGGACGTGATAAAGTTCCGGGCTATGCTAAAACCTAGTCTTTTCGGAGTGGAGTCTCAGATCCCTATTTGATTTGAGCTTGTCGTACTGAAGAAAGCGATCAGTGATCAGTAATCTCCAAAATCTGCAAGGGTTGTTTGTCCAAGTGGACATCTTCCCCAACTTTGCAATAACAGATCGTCGCTGCCAGCTGGTTGTCTCATGTTTGTTGGCGGCCTCGCCTGAGGTGCATGCATATGTCGAGAAATGTGAAGAGTGACTGGCCATGGTATATTAGTAGTCCCTGCATAAAATGCCTGTAGCCAGAGTAGTAGTACAGAATCAATAATGTCCCGAACAACAAAAATCGAATGCGGCAGCACGCTGTTGATGGAGATGATACTCAAAAAATGACAGTCCCAACTGCCGATCCGACGTCCCAGCACTGAGGCCGCTGACTTGCTTGCCGTGACTGAATGGCCGTCTTGTCTCGTGTCATCTAGGCTGAAT